TTAAAAAAAATCTTACCGTAAATCAAGGATTTATATTAGCAATTAGACATAGTGNAAAAAAAAAAAAAAAAATCGTATCGGTCTGATCTTTAAGAGCATCTACAATGCATTGGGTCTAGTCTTGCCTATGTGACATGTAAATAAACCCAAGTCTTGGATGACATGAATAAAATTATGTAAAATGCACAAAATCTACTCCAATGCAAAGAGATTAGATCTCTACTTGGATCTAAAATAGACTTAAGGGGAGACCGGGTCTCTTTTTCTGGGTGCCACAACACAATCTACTTTTATTTGCATTGGAGAATACATTTTTTTAGACTGGGTCTATTTTCTTAGGTGGCATACAATTTTTTGGGATTGAACCCAAAGCACACTGGATGCTTTAAGGCAACAGACGTGTGTATGGAACTAAAAGGATTTTAGGATTCTTTTACAATAATATCGGTCTAATCTTTAAGGGCAACAGACGTGTGTGTATGGAACTAAAAGCCAATATTTTAGGCTTTTCAATTAATGCTATTGATTTAAAAAATATAGAAATTCTTTTTTTTTTTTACGTGGAGATAGGATATTCGTTATATTTTATCTTTTTTACATATATAGATTAAGTTCAAATGTAACAATATTTTACACATACATATGTATACAAATTTATGTTCATTGATGTTATTCAAATTTTGAATTTGATTACATGGATTTTTTGCAACCGATTTAAAAAATTTACATGGACATATATAAAGCATTTAATGCATGCATGTTTTGAGGGGAGATAAGATTTTCTATTAATAGAAAGAGTTTAATGCTAATCCACTTTGACTATTAAATTGAATTGCCATTTTTAAAAAAGGTTATTCTTTTTATATAAGTATAGATATCGATATATGTACCATGAAGTTTGTAAAAACTTAGAATCTGTATCTCACCGCCAAACTTAAAAAAAAAATGAGATTTCATATATTTTATAATTTAAGTTCAACAACTATAGTTTATGGAAGAATAAGTTTTCTGGTTGAAAATTTGATTTAGATTGAACTTTTGTAGCATATTACATAGCATTTTTGCTGATGAGAGCTGATCAGATGAACATTTTTTAAATATAAATTTAAAAACATATGACTACACAAAAAAATTAAAGAAATAAAAAATCAACATTAAAAAATATAACAATCCAACTAAATACTATAACTAAATCGATTTACAATTAAGAGACCAAAAAAGTAAATCATTGTAAATATTTTCAAAAATTTATCTACAAATGTAAAATATAAAGTTTGTTAGTACAGTTTTTAATAAATAAATAGTATGATTAATTTAAATTAAAGAAGCATAGAAATAAAATTTAATTATTAACATATTGTAATTAGTTTTTACATTTCTATATATATTTTATAGTATTTTCTTCTTTATATATATATATATATATATATTTTGATTTTAAAAAAAATCAGGCAGGCCCAAGGCCCCCGGGGCCTCAGCTCCGTACTTTGATCTTGAATACACGTGAGTAAGCCTAGTCTGTGGCGACATAAAAGTATTACACATTTTTCGTTTTATTATATTATTATTATTATTATTATTATTATTATTATTATTATTATTATTATTATTACTTTTGCCACTTTTGGCGACTACTTTATACGTACCTAATTAAACTCAACACATTGAAAAACCTAATTAACGTCGTCAAGGTTGAAATAACTCTCACGGGACCATGGTCTTAAAATAAAAGTTCCAGAATAGATGGTTCAACTATAACTACATTTGTGTAAAGCTAAAATTTCCGAAAATAACAAAAAAGCAGTGACGGAATTAAACTTCACCGTTGAATATCTTTCGTTTGCCTTTTAATGTAAGATCCATCAATTATACTAAGATGTGATTAGCGAAACTAATGCGTGGGCTCAAATTTCTGAAATGTTGAGACATCGTCTTGAATCTTGATATAGCCATATGGCATCTAGCAGTCTTCGTCTACAATTTTTTTATGTTACATTTACAATGGTATTTTGTGTGTATATATATTTACGCAATCTTGCTTTCATAAATTCTAGCTAGCATTAATTTCTGTATTCCCACAATATCAAATGAAATATTAAGAATAGGCATATATGATTTTAATGGAATACTAGTACAATACCCGTGTATTACACGGGTGTTGAATCAGAAAACCTTTGTAAGAAATATTAAATTTTTTATTTTTTTAAAAAATAAAATAAAATAATTTTATATAAAATATTACTTTGGCTTTTAATTAAATTGTCAAATTATATTTTTTTAATCATAATAATTAAACGCCCGTACATTAAATGAAAATGTCAACCCGTGTTGAATTTTTTTACTTATATCATATAAAAATATCAATATTATTTGCTATTACATAAGTACAAAAATATATGTTATTATTATAAAGATAAATATAATTTATTTATTTTATATATACAATATGGATGTCAATTCGAAGCTCATCAAAAGATAGTTAATTTGATATATTATATATGTAAAACCGATAAGAAATACAAAAGTTATCAACTTTTAAATTGTATACAAAAGTTATCAACATTTAAAATGTATTTGCAATTCAATGGTTATAATAGAAATGATATTAAAATACAATTAATACAAATATTATTTTATATTCAAACCTAACTCCAAAGCATGATTTTTTGCCAAATAGGATTCCGGAGTATGAGAATTTGCCATGTAGGCTCAGTGCATTCTGAAATTATATATAAAGGGGATATTGAATTTCATTTTTGTTGGTTTCTTTTCAATAAAAAATATATATTAAAACATTTGGCAAGATTTTATTTTTATTTTTTGGAAGTTGTTGATACAAATAAACAAATATTTCTCTTTTTCTCATGACCAAATATAGTGTCATCTTATAGTTAGACAATCAGGATTATAAAGATTTTTTTCTCATCCACTGTATTGTCTCTTGTTAATGTACGCTGTATTGACTGACACACAACTTTTCTTTCTTAAAACATAAAAACCGGTACATTAATCAAGAATGATATTCAGTCGTTGACTGCTGTGTATTCGCATATTTGTGCATTTTGTTTTATAAAACATAATAAACCGTACACTAATCAAGAATGATATGATAAAAATCGTTGTTTATTTTACTAACCTAATTCTGGCTTCGTGCGGACTATGTTTCAAGTGAGTGACTGATCACTGTTAATTCCTTCTTTATGAAATTGGTTGCGCAGATAAAATTTTAAACCAATCGAAATATGTTTCCCACAATTTTTCCATCTAAAATAACTTGGGGGTGTTTTAAATCTTTTTAATTTCGGCAGTGTCCGACGTCCAATTTTTTTGGTTAATTAACCTACTGTTGGACACTTCTCCTTGAGAAAGTTGTACTCACAAAGTTTATCTCAATTTGAATTAGTTTGCTTGCTTACCTTTTTTTTCATCCAAAGTACATCAGAACAATTTTATTGTTCTCAAGGCGCTATTTTGTCCGCATATATGTGTCATCTAAAGTAAAATCAACCACGTACGATTGTATTGTTAAACTGTTAGATTTTTTGACAACAAAGCACAACTTGATGGTAAGACGCTTCATCTATGAGCGATAAGTAATGGATTCGAGTCACCGAGATGAGAAGTGAGAACACTATTTATCTTCATTGAAGAAGAAAAAGATAAAAAAAAAAGAAAAAAAAATGTCACACTTTTTCTGCCCAATTATCCCTCTTTTTTTGGTTGTTCAATTCCTTTTTAAAATTAATTTTGATTCAGGTGGTCACTGATTGCCGGTAGAATCCCCGGACGAACAGCGAATGACGTGAAAAATTTTTGGAACACCCACATTGACAAGAAATCCTCATCAGCATCCATCGGTGGATATGGTTTCCAGCCGAAAAGCATGAGCATCAGCAAGACCAACGTCATAAGGCCCCAACCTTTAACCTTCTCTACAAATTTACAGCTATCGAGACCTTATGAACCAACTGACGACATTTCCAACCCCACAAAAGACAAAAACGAAAACCCAAGCCTGATAATGCCGCCATCGATGCTCGAGACCATAACCCCCCAAAACGAGTGCATGAGTTGGTGGGGCAGCTTGCTCGAGATAACCAAGAATGGAAATGGGACACCATTTTTATTCCCGAATGACCCGGTTTCAGATCCAATGATGTTTTTGACCGGTCAGGTGAATGGTGAGGCGGTTGAAGACGGTGGATTGAGTAGCTGGGGTCTGAATTTTGGTAGTTTGGAGATTGTGGGCATGGATAATCAATGAATCCTTTCTCGGTTGGAAATTGTTCGTCGGGCACACTGTCAAAGACCGTGTTTTGTATGAAATCTCAGAGACCCTGAGTGGTTGATGAAATTGAAAGCTTGATGTGGCATATTTTTTTTAATTATTATTATATATATTTATTATTTTCATGTAAATGCATAGGAAATTTATTATTTTTTAAATTATATTTATTATTTTATATTTTTTTTGTCATAGTTATTTTTGTTATATGCTTGGTGATCTTTTTCTATTTTTCCTTTTTGTTATTTTCCGTAGTCGTTTGAGCTCATACCGACGGTCATCAATCATCATTGGATTATACCGCTGGACCGTTGACGGCTGCCGGCCAGCGTTGGTCGCTCGCAACCGCTTGACACGACCCAGACTACGTGACTAGACCGACAACCCCCTAGCAAATCGCGTGCAACCCTCCAATAGCTCCCTAGGCTAACCACCACGGGTCATAGGAACCGGAGACAACTTTCTACATGCTCAAGCCAACAGCCCAATCAACCAAACTTGCATCTAGTGTTTTAAGATTAATTTTTCGTCATTCTTGCTCAATAAGTTCTTGAATCTGATTTCGAACCGCTCTCAAATCCCAAGAGAAACGATCCAAGGTTGGGATTTTTCCATTGCTTGGCTAAAAAACTTATAAACAAATATAACGTCATTGTCAAGGAAGATGAGTGGAATATTAGATTTAGAGAATTTATTGAGCATATGAATCCCGGTAATGATTATGGTACTTTGGGATATGATGATCTTTCATATTAAAACCATCTATACCTCTAAATTATCTCGTCTCTGCTCTTCCTGAGGATGATAGAGCTCGTCTCAAGATCGACCCCTATGATCGGGCCTGTTATGTTGCTCGTGCTTTAACAAAGGTAATAATCTCCTTTCTTCCCTTAATACCATCTGGTCGGAAGTTCTTATTATTGATTTGTGTTTTATTCTATTCGTAGTTCCTCGTGGCTATTCTCGCTTCCATTGTGGAGGAGACCTCTTTCCCTCACTCCAACATGGGGGCTTTAGGTAAAAAATATCAGGCTAAGACAAAACAGCTCGATGACAGGACTGTAGAGCTCGAGGCTGCCAAGGCCATGATTACTCAAATATGGGTCGGGAAAGCCGTGGCCCTTCAGAAGATCGAGAAGATGAGGGTTGACCTCGGAAAGCTCATGATGGGAAGGAAGTCGAGGTCTTCGCAAAGAGGGAGGCTGGGCTCCTCGAGCGACACAAATCATTCATGAAGTCGAATCCGATTGCGTACTTAATAAATGATATTGTTTGTAGTATTTTTGGGCATGTGGTAACCGAGCTACCCGACTCGGGTCGTTCTCAAAGGAAGGCTGTTCGGAGCTTCGTTCACTACCTAGTCGTCAAAGTCACATAACCAAAAAGAAGGTCCTAAACATTCTACTCGCTTGATTGTTGGTGATTTGCACGCAATTACACTAAAAATCTAGAGCGAATGATGAAAATACAAGAATCGAAGGAATTGTCAAAGCATTGGTTGCACGGGATCTCCATAACTCAAGAAAATAAAAGAAAACAAGAGAAACATGCGAGCATAGTGATCCAAGGTAACCGAACACGAGCTTTCTACACTAAATCATCACGCTTTGAACAAAGTTGAGACCTTTACACTAGATAAGCACGTATTGATTCCTAACACACAAAAGCAAGCAATAAAAATAAAGCAAAACCCTAAAAACGAGCATAAACACAAAATCGAAAGAAACAAACTCGAAGTAGTAAGTACTAAGCAAGGTACCTACTCTCCTATCGCGTGCCCGAACGAAAATAATGAATAAAGCTCGAAACTTGGATGAAAATAAACTTGCCGGAATTTCGCCGGAAAAATAGAGTCATGGACCTCCCAACCAAAGCATAAAAAAAGAAAAGAGAGAGAAGAGAGAAAATGGAGAAGATTTCCCAACTTAAAAGTTGGGAAATGAGGGTTGTGTCCAAAATTACAAAGCACGATGTCTATTTATAGCTACACCACAAACACACACTAAAAACACACACATTTACTAAGATGCTCTCGAGGTCGCGGGCAGTTTCACGAGTCGCGGGCACGGGTGACACTGTCACGGCACGAGGTCGACTCGGTGTGGCACGGGGTGGCGCGGAGAAAATCCACTACTCTCGAGCTAGCGGAGAAGCTCGCGCGCGCGGACGGCAGGAAGGCGGGACACTCGCGACCTGGCGGGGAAACTCGCGCGCGCGGACACTCTCGAGCTGGCGAGTTGTTTCGCGAGGCGCGGGCGCCGCACTGCATTGGCCAGGCGCGAGGAGTGGACTTGCTATCGAGGTCGTGGAGCAGCTGGCGCGCGCGGACGCGGCTCGGAGCGTGGGTCAGGACCCAGTCATGGTCCGGGATGGTTCGGTTGGCTCGTTCGGGTCGGCTCGTCTTCCCGAGCTCATCAAAATGGACCTAATCAACACCAAAAAGACAAGAAAAGTACGCCGAACCACAAAAACACAAAACGAAAACAAAAATGCACGAAACACGATAAAATGGACCGGATGACACTAAAATGAACCTAAAAATACTAAACTCAAGCACATAAAACACATTAAAATAAGCACAAAAACACAATAAACAGATATTCACTTTTTTGACCACACACCAAGATTATAAAAATCAGATTAAATTATAGCACCAGATTGTGTACCTAATAAATTATATTCACATTTTTCGACCTCATATCAAGACCATAAAATTCAGATTAAATCATAGCACTGGAGAGTCGAATCCGGAGGCTAAAAGTCGAGAAAGTCGCCAGAAAAAGTTCGTTGTTTCTGGCGAAGGTGACCGCTAACGGAAGCACCTCGATGAGAGAATTCCAACGGTATTCTCGGATTTCTTTGGGTCGCCCCTAGTCGTCGAGAAGTTGGAGATGAAGCTTGAAGGTCGAAAAAGTTTCCAAGAAAAGCTGTCCTTTCCGGCAAAAGTGATCGCTGACATAAACTCCTTGATAAGAGGATTCCAATAGTGTTCTCGGATTTATATGAGTCACCTTGAGTCGCCGAGAAATTGGAGATGAAGCTTGAAGGTCAAAAAAGTTTCCGAGAAAATGTCGCCAGAAAATGTTTGTCGTTTTTTGGCGAAGGTGACCGCTGGCAGAAGCTCCTCGATGAGAGGATCCGAACGGTGTTCTTGGATTTTTTATAGCCGTCGTGAATCACCGGAAAAATGAATTTGGAGCTTGAAGTTTGACCTAAATTTTTGTAGATTCACTTCGGTTGACTGCGAAATCGTAGGCCTTCTCGTCAAAATCATGGCGTGAAAATTTAAGAGGAGAACCACATCAAAGAGAGCTACCCAATGAGGTAAAAACTTTTGCGATCAGAGCACTTTGTCGGACGACCGGCGACGGAGGTGGCGGTGGCCGGTGAAGGTTACCTGTTGAAGGTCTGCCTTGGAGGAAGGATTCCAATGGTGTTCTCAAATTTTTTGTAGTCGGCGTGAATTGTCGGGAAAATGGATTTGAAGGCCGGATGTTGACCAAAATTCTCTAGATCTAGAATGTTTGACTGGCGCAATTGGAGGCCTTCGCTCAGGAGTTTTGGCATGAAAATTTAAGAAGAGAACCACGTGTAGAAAACTTACTGGAATATTTTTGGATTTTTTGGTAGGAATTCTATTCGCCATGGATGATTTTATTGGCCATTCGAACGTATCCCACAAATAGCCAATAATAGTAAAATGGACTTCACTCGGGTTCCTTCTACTTTGGACGGCCTTCGCACCTACTAGAACTCAACACCAGTGGAGGGGGGGGAAGTTTCCGGTGAAGAGCACTTAAGTCAACACTCGCCATAGATAAAGTGTAATATGAGAGTATAATAGTGAGTGTAGAGAATATGCTTTTGCGGTACCTTAGGCCCATTTTATAGGGGAGGTGTACCTTAGTGCCCAAGTTCGGCTTGCGCAATACCATTATGACATGTGTCCTAGCTCATGTGCTGTTTTATTCCCCAATATATCCATTCTTATTCATTAATCTTTCTTGTGGGACGACCTAATCATGAAACCAAACCCATATTATTGTGATGTTGAATATCTTCATAAATAGACCCGTAAAATCTGTTCTTCAGGCCGAATGATTGATCTCATCATCTTCTGACAAATATTCGGTATGTCGGCATAGTTGGCCTTGTGCGACAGGTTTCTCGGGTGAAACGTGTCTAGTATGATATTTCATATCTCATGTATTAATAATTTATGCAAATTACTATAGTTATAATTAGATCAAACGAAAAAATGTAATGTGTCGATATTTAGGAAGGTAACATAGTTACATATAGAATATACAATTAGTAAATATAAACTTAATTGTGATTTTTGTATGTCATCAATAAAAACAATTAAAAAAGATATATCTAATCTATCATTATATAAAAAAAATAACCTTTTTACAATTTTAGAAATATTTTCCCGCCAAATATATTAAATGTATCCTATATATAGTAATTGCTGGCCAAAAAAATCGGATTTTGTTATGATATGGGTAGCTTGTATTTTATTAAATCTGTTAGCATATTTTTGTTTTGCATTTTGAAATGAAAATCAGATTTTATTTTTGGTTTTGATTTTGGAGAAATTCTGACACATGATTCATTTATAAAGTTTTCGATATTTTTTCGGTAAAGATTTGATTCACACAGTTTGCTTAAAAATCTTCATTTAATATTCATTTTTTATTTTTAGTTTTTCTTTTGGATAAATTAATACACGATTCTTTTTAATGTTATCTCTCTTTTTCTTTTCTTTTTTTTTTGGTAAAGATCTGATTTACAGAGTTTGCTTAAAAATCTCAATTTAATATCTTTCTTTTATACTAATAAACACAATATTTTATCACGTCAATACAAATATATCACATTAACTACAAATTATACAAACTAGATCTCTTATGGAACATAACAAATTAAATTAAAAGATTACACTTTCATTCAATGTATAAAATTACAATGATATGAATCACCAAAAAAATGTTAAAATAAATAGATAATCACAAATCGTAAAATAAATAGATAAGCACAAATCCAATATTAACGTAACAATTTTATAATCTTGATTTACTATTTTCATTTCAGTTGATAAACATAATAATTTATCACGTCAATATATATTATCACAAGAACTACAAATTAGACAAACTAAATCACTTATGGAACGTACAAAATAATTTAAAATATTACATTTTCATTCGATGTATAAAATGACTGAAATAATAAACAAGATAATCACAAAATCCACATTCTATGGTAACTGTTTTCTAAAATTACCATAAAACTACCATTTTCACGAGATAAACAGTCTTTGATATCTATCACATCAATTTATAATATCCAAAATATTTTATTTTATATTTCTTGATGTTAAAAGATATTTGTTGCTTTTAAAAACGAGTGTAGGGATAATAAATATCCTATCACACCCATACAAAAAAGCACCTATACGAACATAAAAAAAAAAAGTACATTTTATGACAAAAATTTAAAGTGTTTATTACTTTTTAATTCATCTCATTCGATTTATAATATTTCACAAAATAATTACAGCCGTACGTCGCACGGGTTACACGTACTAGTGTAATAATTAACCAAATTAAAAACTTACAGACATGGTAGATTAACTAAACTAATATTAATTAACTTCCAAAAGAAATGGTAACCACAATGATACTGAAAGTAATAAAATATCAATATTCAAGAGTATAGGGACAACATAAGGAGCGAGGACTACTATTTAAAAAAATAATAACGCTATCAATAACTATTTCAAATAATAATTAAGACGATAGTGATACTGTAACATTAAAAAATATATTGAAACATTTAACATAGTTAAATACATGAAGATAAAATAATAATTTATACAAAAAAATTTATGTTGACAAGTAACATAAAATATAAATCATATTCAGTATTTTATGATGATAAATATATAACAGTTGCACTTGCAGAAAATATTCACTAACAAACATATTTTGTAATTAAAAACCCGAAAACCTAGCGTCGCTCTCAACTGCATCGCGTCGCCTTCCTTGGCGGCGTGTGCGGCATCGGCCGGTGGTCGCGTTCGACCGCCGTTCCTCTTCTGATGTCCCGGACCCCTGATATTGTCGTTATGTGCTTGCGACTATAGATCTGCTCAACCCTTGTTCGTCGGAGTTGCAACGATTGGAGGAGGCGAGCTTTTCGGTCGTCAATCGGTTTGCAATTTGTGCGTCGTTTGGCCTGCAGGTATCAATTGGAGGTGAGTCCCCCTCCAATTTAAGCTTCTGTTCCTCTCTCTGTCTCTGAGTGTGAACGAAGAGCCCTCGGGCGTTTCTGTTTTTTTTCCGGCGAAGCTCCGTTCGAGATTTTCTCAATCAGGTGCCGGTGATCTGCGGAGATGCTGGTGGTTTGTGGGTCGTGAGGTGGGGTGGGGCTCTGATGGTGAGTCGGAGTTGAGGGCCCGAACCGCCCCCTGTTCCGGCTAGTGGTGTTAGACGGCGGGGTTCTGGTTGTCCTTAGCTCGGCTAGTGGTGTTAGCGTGCTCGGGCAGTGCTAGAGTGGGTGTGTGTTCGGTGTTACTTCGGTTGGGGCGGGTTGTATCGGAGTTTGGTTTGTATCCAGGTTCGACTCTTTGTATAGGTCTTGTGGCAGTTTTGGGAGCCGTCCCCTGGACTTGGACTAATCTTTGATATTGACTGTTCTCCGTTGGTTAGGGCCGACTGATTTGCGGTGGAAGGGCATCCTGTGTTTTTTTTTATTTGTCTTGTTATGTGGTTAGGATCTGTTTGTGTTTTTTTTTCTTTGTTGGTGTTTTGTTATGTGTCCATGTCCTGTGTTTTTTGTTTGGGTCGTTGGACCTTCTGCGCCTGAGTGTCACTTTATTACTCTGTGGGGGTCCGACACTCGGATATCATGACTTTTAAATATTATGGTTATTTGAAAATTATGTTTCAACTTTGAACACATTTACTACAATTCATCATGCAAAAAACTTTTATTATTAATTAAAAATAGTAATGAAAAAAATGAATGCAGCATATAAATGTTAAAAAGCATGATTTACAAGCCAGTGAAATAGAAATAATCATGCATGCATCACGTGCATCACAAGTACAATTTACTATTACAAACAAACATAAAAATATTTTTGTCCACGAATAGGTGGAAAGTGTTGAACTGTGTACAAAAACACATGTAAACACGAATGAAGTGGCACGCCCCTACTAAGTAGAGGCCTTTATTCCGTAATAATAAAATCTTCACCAGACCATTATCACACATTCATCCCACAAGAAAATTGACAATCCAAACAAACGGTAGCTAAACACACTGCGAATAAGGCTTTATTTTCGCGTACAGAAACATATAATTTAGAGTATATATAAAAGATGAAATACACTCACATGTTGGACCCACTCAAATATTTTGTTATGTGAATTCTACATAGACATTGCGAGTACATGAACATCATTATATATACTGGCATGGTCTGGCATTGGTTTTTTTTTTTTTTTTTTTTTTGATCGGTAAATAAAATTTTATAGCTCAAAAAATGTTTTTACAACGACCGTCGCGCGGCATACAGAAGCGAAGTGGGCCACCACAAACTGGTCCCTCACTTGCTAATTAAATGAAACCGTAATCAACTAACAAGCATCTAACATGACTCTCAATCATACGTACCATAAGGAGGCTAGGCCAAGCCATTCCTGAGGACTTTTCTCTCCATGTCGGCAAGGACATTCGGGTACAAAGCAAATACATTTCTATAGACATGTGTTTGAATCCTCCGGATAATGAGCTCCGGAGATTGTACTTCATTTTCAAAAATCTTCCTATTTCAAGCATTCCAAAGGAAGTACACCGTAGCAGCGAGTCCGGCCTTTGTTGCTTTTTTTCTCCAACCGGAGCCTTGGGATTCTTTCTTAATCCACTTCAAAGCACTCTTTAGAGTGGAGAGTTGTCGCCTCAATCCTAGCCAATGTGGGATGCCAAGCCACACTTGAGCCGAAAGGGGGCAAGTGAAAAAGAGGTGATCCTTTGTCTCGGAAGCTTCCCCACAAAAGGCACAAGTAGGATCAATATCAAGGAAGCCAAGTCTATCCTTGGTTCGGAGCCTTCCGAGCGTTGCAAGCCAAAGAATGAAGGCGTGTTTGGGGTATTGGCGGGCACCCAAATCACACCCTTCCATGGGACGGGTGTGCCTCGGGATCGAAAGAAATCATAGACGCATGAGGGGCCCTTGGAGTGAGAGTTGGAATCCCAAAGACTAAGAGCGGAATCGGCGGCTTGCGTGCTACCCAACTTTTCAACTATTAGGTTCCGAATGGCATATAGGTTCTTGAAAAGAGGGGAATCGTCCTTGTGGATGGTCCATTGCCACACGGATTTTTGCCTTAGGTAAACATGATGAACCCAACAGTACCACAATGTATCTTTTTTGGCTTGGATATTCCATAGTGTTCTTGCTAATAAAGTTTGGTTCCACGCTTTAAGGTCCCGAAGCCCTAAGCCTTCCTCCGAACGTAGAAGGGTGACGGTGTGCCAAGCCACCGGTGGCATATTTGAGCCCCAAAGGAAGCGGCGACATTGTTGGATGATGAGTGTACGGACGGTCGACGGAAGAGAGAAGATAGACATCCAAAAGCATTCCACCCCTTGGAGGACAGATCTAATGAGCTCCACTCGTCCCGCATATGAGAGAGAGGAAGCGTTCCATCCATTGATGTATTCCGAAATTTGATTTATGAGAGAATCAAATTGCCCAACGGTGACTCTTTCCGCCGTGAGTGGGATACCGAGGTACCGAAACGGCATAGAGGCTGGAGGTTAGTGTCCTGAAGAATCTCCGAATGCTCTATTTGGCTAACCCCCACCATGTAGATGTTGTATTTTAGTACATTCATTTCCAAACCCGATTTAGTTCCAAAGTCCCTCAAGCAACCCATTAAGATTTTAATAGTAGATGGGTCGCCCCTCGAAAGGACCATTAAATCGTCCGCAAAGGCAAGGTGAGTGATTTTAAGAAACTTACATTTCGGGTGATATTTGAAGCCCGACCCGCTAGCCATGTTCCGGTTCATGAGTCTCGAGAGATAGTCCAAGCATATAACAAAGAGGTAAGGCGAGAGCGGATCTCCTTGTCTCAACCCCTTGGCACCTTTGAAGTGGCCTTGGAGCGAACCATTTATAGAGATTGAATATGAAGTCGTGGTGACACATTCCATGATCCAATTAATGAAGGTTGCCGGAAATTCAAGTCCAAGAAGAACTTGCCTCAACAAAGCCCAAGAGATAGAGTCGAAATCTTTACGAAGGTCTATCTTGATAGTGCACCTCGGGGAGATCCTCTTTCGCATGTATTGCCGGAGTAATTGTTGCATGAGGTGAATATTATCGGACATGTTCCTACCCCTCACAAATGCGGCTTGAGCTCCATCAATGATTGAGGCGAGAACGGGGCTCATGCGTTGGGCAATAATTTTCGAGCAAATTTTGTAAGTAGTGTTGCAACACGCAATCGGCCGGAAATCTGATACTTGGGACGTGTGGGGGCCTTTTCGAACCATAACTAAGGTATTATGGTTCCATTGCTTGAGTAGGCGCGGCCAAGGTGAGATCCTTCCCAACAATGTCCCAACTCTTTCGAAAAAATGTTGAAGTGTACCCGTCCGGGCCGGGGGCTTTGCCTCTTTCAATGTCATCAAGTGCGGCTTTGATTTCGTTTTCGGAAACTGGGGCAAGAAGGGTGTGATGGTGCTCATGTGATAGAAGTGGGCCATGCCGGATGATCTCGGAATCAATATCATCGGTCGGAGTCTCGTTACCGAGGAACCTTTCGAAGTGGGAGACAAACTCCTTGGACACTTCATCGAGAGAAGTGGTCGAATTCCCATTTTCTTTCGATATAGAGGCTATGAAATTCTTCTTGGCATTTCTTTTGACAAGGGCGTGGTAGAAAACAGTGCATTTGTCTCCCTTAATTTGGAATTTGCACTTCGCTTTTTGTTGAAAGAAGTGCTTCTCCGCTTTCTCTAGATTAATGGAATTGAGGCGGAGAGTGGGTAAAGAAGCCTTTACCTCCAAGTCATCAGGATTGTCGTGGAGTTTTTCTTGTGCTAACTTGAGAGCTAGTTTCACATTGTTGGCCCAGAGAGAGATTTGGAAAAAGTACTCTGCTTTGATCTTGGAGAGCTCGTGTTTCAAGGCTTTTAGGCGGCCGAAAAGCTTGAATTGATTCGTTCCCTGGATACTTAGGTTCCAAGCATGTCGGACCCTCGGTTTGAATTCATTGTACTCAGCCCACATATTAAAGAAGCGCCAAGGTGATCCCTTCCTCCTAGTGTGCTCAAATAAAGAGACAACACAAGGAGAGTGGTCGGAGATGCCCGGCGCAAGGAATGAAGCTTGGCAATAAAGATCTTCTTGGAGCCAAATGTTGCCCACCATGGCTCGATCGAGTTTGGACCAAATGGAGTTATTCGTCCATGTGTGGAAGAAGCCGGTGGAAGGGGCATCCACAATGTTGTGAGTGTCACAAAATGCACCGAAGTCCATGATGTCCCGGTTAGTAACGGGCACCCCCTTTATTCTTTTCTCCGGTTGGAGAATCGTGTTAAAGTCTCCCATGAGTAGCCATGGTAAGTTCACTTGCGTCTTGGAGCTTGCAAGGTCACGCCATAATTGCTTGCGGTCGCCTCTACTATGGAGCCCATATACAAAGATAACAAAGAACTTATAGTTGCTAACCTTTTTTATGAGCGTAGCCGAGATGGATTGAATGAACGTGGTTTGAATCGATACCTCCACTTTATCCGGGTTCCAAAGAATGGCTATGCGTCCATGCCTAGCGACTCCAAAATTTTCATAAAACAACCATCTCCAAAGACGGTTGTGCACAAAACGAGATAGACGGTGATAATCCGTCTTTGTCTCAATAAGTCCCAAAATATCAATATTATTCTTTCGAATGAGGCTAACCACCTCATCTTGCTTTAGAGGCGCATTGAAGCCCCCAATGTTCCAAGCGGCGATAATCATTACTTGGAGGAGGAGGGGTGGGCCCCCTTCTTCACCGAGATATTTTTTGTCGGCTCTCTTCTCATATGGATAATGTCTTTCATCTTCAAAAATGATTTCGGTCCCACTTGGATTGGCCCTCCGCCTTGTTTCAAGTTTTTGTTTTTCTTTGCCACCAATTGGAATGGTGGCTCCTCCATGTTTAGTTGGTTGGTAGGTTCAAGCTCCATGTCCTCTTCAATCTCACATTCTTTATCATCGCCTTCGGCTTTTTCTTGGTTTAACCTCTCCAAGTTAGAAGCCTCTTCAAGGTCCTCTTTCCCCTCCTCCATTTTTGAGGAAGTTGGTTGCTCATTAGAGGAGGATTCCGGAGTAGTGTTAATCCCCTTGGAAGTGTATGACTTTGTTTCCAAAGCGGCTTTAGAGGTTTGATGCCCTTTAGTGGAAGTTTCTGGGATGGTGGTCTGCATTGGTGCTTCCGTCTCCTTTGGGGCTTTTGTCTCAACTCCCTTTGAGATGGGATGGTTTTCCACTGAAGGTGCCTTTTGTTTGTCCTTGCCCCGAATTGGTTTGGTTGCTTGGGTTTTGGACTTATTCCCCTTGGGCTCTTCCGGGTATATATGGCATTTTTTTCATGGAGTGTCCAATTTGGTTGCAACAAATACACCGGTTTCAACTTTGACTTCATATTGTAGCTCTTGGGAGACGTCTAGCTCGACAAGGACCCGAGCAAAGTTACATCTCCCCTTTGACTCGGTGAGCTTGTCCGTTGAGATGGGCTTGCCTAAGCTCGAGGAGATTTTCCCTATGGCATTCGCATTCCAACATTCAAGGGGAAGGTAGGGAAATTTCACCCAAACGGGCACAATTTTGGTATCATCGTCCCCGAAACGGAACCATTTGGGGAGGGTCTTTAGCATTAGACTTCTCCCATAGATGGTGTACGGTCCCCCTTCAAGAACCCTATCACGGTCCTCCTTCGTTGCGAACTTGAACATAATCCAACCGTTGACATCGGGGATGTATTCGTATTTTACCTTCCAAGAGTTACATATTTTCAACAGCGCCTCCTTTCCGGGGTGCCTATGGGTGAAGTATCCCACAAGGCAATATCCCCAAGTCGTTTGAACATCATCGATATCTTCTTTTTCCAAGCGGACTTTGCCCTCCGTTGGTTTGGTGTAGGTTAGCTTGAGTCCGTTGGAAGGCTTCCGGTTGTTTGCAAATAACTCATTGAATGGACGCTTACGATCAGTGACGATGCCATTTACCGCTTTTCCCTCCTTAGTCTTCACTTTTTGCTTGTCCAAAGGAGAAGATTTCCTTTGGGGCATTTCTTCGAGCACGTTACGGGCGGTTTTCGGGAGCTGATTTGTGTCCAGATTTAGAGTCCCATCTTGCACAAGCTGTTTTTCTTCAGCTAGCTCAACATAAGTATCATCATTTATGGCATTAACATCATCGTTAGCACTCCTATTGGCCGCGTTATTATCTTCAGCTTTGGAGAGATTTTTGGTTTCGCGAGTTGGCCTAGCGACAGAGTTCTCAGTTTCAGGCGAGTTGGGTTCATCTTCACTCCCATGATTATCATCTGAAACTTCTCGATCATAAGTGTTATCAAGTATAAGGGGGCGGAAATTTTTTATTTTCTTGGACCTGGGCATCGTTTCGTAAAGGAGTTGGGCATCTGAAACTAACTACTGTCTACCTCCAAGTGTATTACTTGCTATCAACATTTGCCTGTTTCTTTGTGTTTGTTTAAGCATTGGTAGCCATTTTCTGCAGGGGTATCTGTTAAGATTGGACAATGTGGTCTTTGCTGTTAGTCAACAGCTTCCATGGAATTGTTATGTATAATAAAAGAATTGTTATGTAGAAAGTTTCAGGTTTTTTTCCTGACATTGGTTTTTAGTTGATGAGAAGATAAGCATACACAAGTGTACAAGTCGTGATTGCCAATGGAATATAAGGCTCAAGAGGTGGGGTTAAAATCTCAAGTTTCTCAAAGGCAAAGGTCCACGTGCCCATGCCCTCACTCGCGTTGAGTGTGAAAAAGAAGCTTTTGTATTGCCCCAAAAGATCTCCACCGATTACGGCGAATGTGACGGTTTTTTTGGCATCATATATGGCTTCTATCCTCTCTGTTACGGTCATTGGAGTTCCACCTACACTTCGTATTTGAGAAGTCAGAAAAGGAATTATAATAATGATAGAAATGGTGATCTGCCAGCCATTGAACGGAGGTCGAACAGTGGACAACATTAAAGAGATAATGTATATTTTTAGTTGATGAACTGCTACATAAGATGATGCCAAATATATATATATATATATAGGCTACTTCAAAACCCTAAGGGACTACCAATAAGAAGGGAACATAGCATGAAGTACATGCACACTAAAAGCCAAGGAAACAGCTGGCAATGCAGGTAAGCTGCTGTAAAAAAAATAACAGCAAAGATCACATTTTCTTAAGTATGATTAGGGAAATATTTTACT